CCCAAAAAACCCCTGGCTCCCCCTACCTTGAGCGCCTGCGTGTCCCTGACGAGGATGGAGCGCAGCTGCCCGTTGAGCTCAAAGAAAACCTCGCGCTGCCCGGCCGCGTTCAGGTCCCCGAGCGCCAGAGCCTTGATGTGCAGCGTCTTCCCCCGCTCCAGCTCCACCTGCGCGTAAAATGTGAGTAAAGTGTGAGTAAAGTGTGTGTAACTGCTGTGTAACCTGTGTGTAACTGCTGTGTAACCTGTGTGTAACTGTAACTGTGTGTAACTGTAACTGTGTGTAACCGTAACTGCTGTGTAAGGGATGTGCAGCGTCTTCCCCCGCTCCAGCTCCACCTGCGCGTAAAGTGTGAGCAAAGTGTGAGCAAAGTGTGAGTAAAGTGTGTGTAACTGCTGTGTAACCTGTGTGTAACTGTAACTGTGTGTAACTGTAACTGTGTGTAACTGTAACCGGTGTGTAAGGGATGTGCAGCGTCTTCCCCCGCTCCAGCTCCACCTGCGCGTAAAGTGTGAGTAAAGTGTGTGTAACCTGCTGTGTGTAACTGTAACTGTGTGTAACCATAACTGCTGTGTAAGGGATGTGCAGCGTCTTCCCCCGCTCCAGCTCCACCTGCGCGTAAAGTGTGAGTAAAGTGTGAGTAAAGTGTGAGCAAAGTGTGAGTAACCTGTGTGTAACTGCAAGGGTGTGTAAGGAGTGTGTAAGGGGCTGTGCCAGGAGTTCCACGTGTGCCAGTCCCTCCCAGTGCCCCCCCGTGTCCTCCCAGTCCCCTCCCAGTGCTCCCAGTCTCCTCCCAGTGCTCCCAGAGCCCCCCCAGTCCCCTCCCAGTGCCCCCCCGTGTCCTCCCAGTCCCCTCCCAGTGCTCCCAGTCTCCTCCCAGTGCTCCCAGAGCCCCCCCAGTCCCCTCCCAGTGCTCCCAGTCCCTCCCCATTGCTCCCAGTGCCCCCCCAGTCCCCTCCCAGTGCCCCCAGTCCCCTCCCAGTGCTCCCAGTCCCCTCCCCGTGCCCGCACCTCGAACTCCTCGGCGATGGCGGGCCCCTCGAGGAAGAGGCGGGTGCCCAGGCAGGCCACGGGCCCGAAGGTGCTGCTGAAGGTGCGGAACTCGTCGTAGACCTTGGGGTAGAGCGCGGCCGAGAGCAGCTCCTCGGGGCTGGGGGGGGCCCCGTGCCGCGCCCCCAGCTCCCGCCCCAGCGCCTCGAAATCCAGCGGGGGCAGCGACGCCCCCGGGCGCCCCTCCACCCGCGGCAGGTCCTTCAGCACCTGCGGGCAGCGAGCGTCGCCATGGCAACGGGGCACGGAAACCATGGCGACGGGTGTCGGCATGGTGACGGGGGGCAGGGGTACCATGGTAACGGGGCAGGGACACCACGGTAACAGGGTGGAGACAGCGTGGCGACGGGTGTCGGCATGGCAACGGGGCACGGAAACCATGGTGACGGGTGATGGCATGGTGACGGGGCGGGGGTACCATGGTAACGGGGTGGGGGATATGGTAACAGAGTGTTGGCATGGCAACGGGGCACGGAAACCATGGCGACGGGTGATGGCATGGTGACGGGGCGGGGACACCATGGCAACAGGGTGGGGGACATGGTAACAGAGTGTTGGCATGGCAACGGGATGGGGATACCATGGCAATGGGTGTTGGCATGGCAATGGGGCAGGGATACCATGGTAACGGGGCAGGGGTACCATGGTAACGGGGTGGGGATACCATAGCAATGGGACAGGGAAACCATGGCAACGGGTGTTGGCGTGGCAACAGGACAGGGACACCATGGTAACGGGTGTTGGCATGGCAACGGGGTGGGGACAACACGGCAACAGGACATGGACAATGGGATGGGGAAACCATGGCAATGGGTGTTGGCATGGTAACAGGACAGGGACACCATGGTAACAGGGTTGGGACACCACGGCAACGGGTGTTGGCATGGCAACAGGGCGGGGATACCATGGCAACAGGGTGGGGGACATGGTAACAGAGTGTTGGCATGGCAACGGGGCGGGGACACCATGGCAATGGGTGTTGGCATGGGAACGGGACAGGGACACCATGGCAACAGGGCAGGGAAACCATGGCAACGGGTGTTGGCATGGCAACGGGCAGGGGCATGACAACGGAGCAGGGACATGGCAACGGAGCAGCAACACCATGGCAATGGCACGTTGGCATGGCAACGGGGCAGGGACACCATGGCAACAGGATGCGGGACATGGCAACAATCATTGAAAGCCATTGCTAGGCTTGGTTGCCATGGTAACCATCACTCGATGCCGTTGCCATGGCTCGGTACCACGGTCACCATTTCTAGGCCCTGTTGCCATGGCAACTATCACTTGGAGCCAGCATTAGGGACTGCAGCATCCCGTTGCCATGGCAACGACCTATGGGGAACCCTCCCAGTTCATCCCAGTCCATCCCAGTCCCTCCCAGTTCATCCCAGTCCTATCCCAGTCCATCCCAGTCTCCCAGTCCCCTTCCAGTCCCTCCCAGTCCTATCCCAGTCTCTCCCAGTCTCAACCCAGTCCCCCCCAGTCCATCCCAGTCGCTTCCAGTTCCATCCCAGTCCCATTCCAGTCCCCCCCAGTCGCTCCCAGTCCCTCCCAGTCCTGCCCAGTCCATCCCAGTCCTATCCCAGTCGCTCCCAGTCCCTCCCAGTCCTGCCCAGTCCCTCCCAGTCCATCCCAGTCCATCCCAGTCCCTCCCAGTCCCTCCCCAGTCCCTCCCAGTGGCTCCCAGTGGCCGTTGGGACGCACCCGGGAGCGGAAGGGCTCGGGGAAGCCCCCCGGGGGGACCCCGATGTGTCCCTGCAGGAATTCCACCACGCTCTGGGGGAAGGAGAGCTCGTCTGCCCGCGCCTCCACCTCGGCGCGGGACAGCCCGTTCTGCACCATGAACTGCGCCAGGTCACCAACCACCTTGGAGGACGGCGTCACCTGCGGGGACACCGCCCACACCGGGGGTCACCTCGGGTCACCGGGGGTCACCTCAGGACACCTAAGGGTCACCTCGAGTCACCTAAGGGTTTCCTGCGGGGACACCGGGGACACCAGGGGTAACCTAAGGGTCATCTTGGGACACCGGGGGTCACCGGGGGTCACCTCGAGTTAGCTAAAGGTCACTGGGGGTCACCGGGGGTCACCTCGGGTCACTGGAGGTCACCTCAGGACACCTAAGGGTCACCTCGAGTCAGCTAAAGGTCACCAGGGGACACTGGGGACAGCGGGGGTCACCACAGATCACCTCGGGTCACCACAGGTCACCTAAGGGTCACCTCGAGTCCCCTAAAGGTCACCTCGAGTCACCTAAGGGTCACCGGGGGACACTGGGATGGTGCCCCATGGACACCACCTGCCCCACAGAGACCTTCTCCTGGAGACCACCCACCCCACAGACACCACCCACCCCATGGAGATCACCTACCCCACGGAGATCATCCCACCGCACAGACACCACCCACCCCATGGACACCACCCCACAGACACCACCTGCCCCATGGACATCACCTGCCCCATGGACATCACCTGCCCCATGGACA